CCTGTTGCGGTATCCGGCGCTGCTGGTGCGTCGTCTCGGAGGGTCTGCCGCACCTCTAGGTCCTCTGTCGTTCGCCACCTCTAGGTCCTCTGCCTCTAGGTCTTCGGCCAGCCGCCGCCTCTAGGTCCTTGTCATTCCTCTAGTGCAGGAGTTTTGCTGCTGGCATGTGAGGAGTCATGTTGTCTCCACCATCGTCGATCTCCGTGAGTCCCCCTTTGCACAACTCATCATCACACGGTGATATGCGGTCATCGTCACCATTGTCCAAGTCAAGGAAGGATTGTGCAGAGAGTCACCCTTCGCACAACTCATCGACCAGCTGCGATGTGTATCCATCATCACCTTCGTCCAAGTCAAGAAAGGATCGCAGCCTTGCCTTCAAATCATGGGCTCATGGAAGATGCTACCGTTGTCTTGCCCGTGATCACCAGGTCAGCTCATGTTGGGACTCCTGCTGCTGCATTCGATGTTCATCACCCTAGCCATAAAGAGCGACATTATAGCCTCTGGTCCCCCCCGGGCTTCACCATGTTTCGGCTCTCCTTCCCATAATAACCATCTTCAAAATGCTCGAAGATTGGTAGATGTTGTGGCTTCATCTCCCCCAAATGGTCATTGTGGTCCGCTGTCGGCTTCAACTAATCGCCATCCTCGATGTGCTGCTTGTTGTTGTCATTGTGGCGCTGCACATGTTGGTTCCTTTACTTCGGATCTTCAATCTTTGTTTGGGCCTCTGATGGAGTCGCTTCGTTCAGATCTCCAGGAGTTCTTTGTATCTCGGCTTGAGGAGGTCATGCGTCCTTTTAGGGTAGAGACATCAACCATCAAGTTGTGGCTTGTACGGTTGCCCAATCATCTAGAGTGCGGAGGGCCACCAAGCAAGGACTATTTCACTATAGACATGGCAGGGCTTTTTGGTCCTTGTTCCCCAGTTCAGCAGTCTTCGACTCCATTATTTTCCACAACAAACCCTCTCACCGATGAGTTGGAGTTTCACACAGTGTTGAACCCTAATAGTAAGGAGGTGGCCACAAGGACAATTGACGTAGAGACTCACCAAAAGATGCCCATGGAGCAAGCTAATGAGGGGCTTTTAGCGGTGTCGTCGATGGTGGCTTGCACGTTTGCTGACTCCTTGGTGTGTGAGGACACATGTGTGATCAGTGCAGATTCCATCAATGCCAAGATGATCATAGAGAAGGTTGTTGCGGTGCCCTTGAAGACCTCATTGCTACAGACCGTCACCCCTGTTGAGGATATTGTTCTGGTGGAGGATGCATCCGATGATGAGGACGCTTTCTCACAAGTGAAAATTGAGGACCCCATCTTTCTCATCAGCATTGAAGACAACCCTATACATTCTATGGATGACGCCAAAGAGGAAGTCATCACCATTGAAGACAACTCTTTGCATTCTACGCCTGAGGTCAATGAGAGGTCGATAGAGGATCCATCAATTAATGCAACATCTTCTTCAATGGCCACAACTATGGAGGAGAATGATCTAGCATGTCCTCCTATATAACCACCTTCACCATCGACTACACTTGCAAGACACCGACGCAAGTCCTATGATAGATCTTCGCTTCATTGAAGTGACCGCATTGCACATCGCAACGTGTTAAAGGATTTAGGCGTTGTTGGGAAGGATGGGAAGCTCAATGATGGTGCAATGCAAGACATTGTAGTTTGTCTATAGGAATTGTTGCCACCAGACCTCCTCAAGCCACTTATGAGTTTAAAAGGTCGTGCTTTTTTGGATTTTGTGGCAGAGGCCTCTCTACATTTGTGTTAGGAGTCATGAACGACGACACAAGTGTGACTTTGGTGTTCTATCGACGATTGTTGTCCGTGTGATGCGCGTCACTTGGTTGGCTACTGCAGAGGAGGTTGTGGGGGATCGGATCTTTGGTGTACAACAGTGTTTGTTTTAGTTGTTTCGGTCTCTCTAGTTGTCTTGTTGCTTTGTTGTGTTATTGTGTCGTTGTACCACCTAGTCTGGGTTTCTTCTTTTTAATATAATCGGCAGCTCTCCTGCCTGATTCGTTTAAAAAAATGTTGCCACTATGGAACACCCCAGGCTGTTATAAGCCCATAGTAACTAGGTTGTTAGTCTGTATGGCCTATGTGGTATGTGTGGTTGTAGTTAGTGGGTTTAGTAGCATCTTGAAAAGTTTAGGAGGATGAGGCCAGCTTATAATACTTGTTGTTTCAGAAGTAATACCTTCGGGTTAACCCTTTTATACAAAGCGAGGACAAAAGTGTGAGAGAGGTGCTATACATATGCTTCGTTCCACCTGCAGAGCTAGGCCATATAAGCAGTTTTTGGATGACCAGTGTTGGCCATATAAGTAGTTTTTGGACGTGGAGTGTTATAGATGGTATTCAGACCCCTTAAGGATGTGGTGAATGTAACACACCAACCCGTTAGAAGCCTGTAGTAGTTGTGTTATTGGCCCATATAGCATGTGTGGCTGTAGTTGGTGGGTCCAATACCACTTTGGAAGTTTAGGAGGTTTAGGAGGATGATGTTAGAAGCCCCTAGTAATGTGTGGTTGTAGTTGGTTGGTTTGTATTACCTTGGAAGTTTAGAAGAGTGAGATCCAGCTTATAGTCCTTGTCGTTTCAAACGTATTACCTCCCGGTTAACCCTTTTACACAAAGCGAGGACGAGGATGAAAGTGTAAGAGAGGTCCTACACTTACGCAAGATTGTTTCACTGGGGCATATAAGCAGTTTTTAGACGCAGGGTGTTACACACTACTAGTTAACAGTGGGTCTTGTATGTGGGGTCCAATTGTCAGTTGGTAATAGAAGAGATGTTTAGCCTTGTTTCATCATACTACTGAGAAAGGAAAACTGTATCATGATATCATGGCTAAAAACCCTTTGGGATTCCTACATTTTTTTCTTTGGCCTACCCAAATGATCATTGCTTCAAAATTCTTACGCTTACATGTTCTATTGTTTTTGCATTCCTATATTCCGAACGTGTTCTTTTCCATTACATTGTCTCAAGTCAAACTTTCATTTGACTAAGTTTTTAGAAAAAAATATTAACATCTAGTACAAAAGTTCAACTAAATATAACATGAAGACATTCCATAAAAAATAATGAAACTATCAAATCAATTTGATGGTGTCAATATTAGTGATTTTTTTATGAACTTGGTTGAATTTAAAAGAGTTTGGCTTTGAACAAAGCTAAACTGACTTATAATTTAGAATGGGCGAGTATTTTATAGTTATATTATAACCAAAAGCATTAATTAAAGTTTAATTTAGTTAATTTCAAATGTTCTAGAAATGCTATTTCTTTATTTGTGACTGAAGAAAGTACGGTTTTTGTGCTGATCAATCATGGTTTACTAGGAATACAATTTGGATTTCAGCCCAAATGAAATATGATTAAAATGAACTAACAAAGTGTCCTAAAAATATCCATGTATGCCACCACTTTCATCCCTTTACACGGTGTATATTTGGGACGTGGCGATGATCATGGGCTAGCTATATTCTACATGTGCATGCAAGTTGGCCAATCAACACTATCTGTTACAACTTTACAAAGTCAAGGTCACCAATGTGGTGCAGGTTATTATCAGCGATTCGAAGCATAGCGTTTATCATGGTCCATAATATGTACAAGCTAAGTTGGCCAATCGTTCGTATCTGTTACAACTTCAAGTCAAGGTCGCCATGCAATGGGCAATGGTGGAGGCTATTATCACTTATGAGCGGGTTGAATCAGGCAATGCCCTCTGGCTCTGCCGTGCGATCAAGGTCTCTGCCGCCATTGGACGTACAAATTAACACTACTAAGCACGCTTGCTCGCATAGTCACATTATATTCGATCAAAGTCGTCGCATAGTCAGCATTATATTCGATCAAAGTCGTCACCATATTCTTTCGCAAAAAAAAGTCATCACCAAATTCACCATTGCTCTTCTGGCCAACAACACACTCGGTAGGCACGAAAGCTGCTTCGGTGCCTCCCTTGTGTCGTTTGTAGAGGTATGGGATGGGCTGCAAAGGGGTTGCTCCAAGACTGAAAATTCAGGCAAATTTTTGCAGATAGATTGTACCAAGCTGTTTGGAAGCAGTGAAAATTCCCAAGTCAACAACTTTGTGTCTGTACCTGTGCATGCAATTGCTATCGTTTCAACAAATCTGTATGCTTCCGAAGTTCCACTACAATAGCAGTGGCAATAACGGTTCCCAGGAATACAATGATTATTGCAAGCAAATAACAAAAGTGACCCTCGTACATGAAATTTATTTGAGAATTGAGATCGATACATAATTAACAAGGCTTCCTGCCTTCTCAAGATCGTTTTGTAGTGGGAAATCCCCATGACACTACAACTACTGCAATGGCAAACCCAACACCAAATCCTAGTCTGACAAAGAGGAATAGCATAATATCTACAGATTTCTTCTCCGAATAAAATGGCACCATCACAGTTGCTGGTGTTATGTTCATGCACTCTTTTGAGAGCGGAGGCCCACACAAACCATCATTTCCCAAAAACGAGTCACTGAAAAATGTCATGAAATGAGGTGACTCCGGTACTCTTCCTTCCAGCTTGTTGTAAGATAGGTTCAACATGGTTCCTCAGACTCCAGCTACCTCAAATTTCAGGCGAGTTCATCTTGATTCTACGCACCCCAAATTTTTTTCTTGGCTGTCGATTGTTTTCTTGGGTTGGAGAATGGAGAGGCATGATTGGTTGAGGGTCACCACATGATTGGTTGTCTCCTGCGCCAGCGTGCGCAGCCAGGCAACTGCGCTCTCATGGAATTCAAGTTCGGACAGACACAACCTATACTTCTAGATTTATGAAGCCCATTGCGTTTGCATGGAATTCAGTTCTGTTTTTGTCGATGCAGATCCTTCTCTTCAAGTTTAGTCTAAGTTTTATTCCATGAACTGCACTAATGTATATGTTTAAATCTAGTACTTCAGAATTAGAAAAAACTTCAAAATAGACCTTTAATTTCACCTTGAGATAACACCACTATCTCTGGGAATCAGACCTGACACAGAATAATCAGACCTGACACAAAATAGCAACAGAACAGATTTTACCTGTCTCATCTAACCATAGTACAACACAAATACATATCACCCCATTATCTTTTTTTAGAAACAATACCAGGGATATGTTCCATAATGCTATTACACATACATATGGATACAGAAATGCTTGCAAATCCATCCTTCTACGTGACGAAAGGTTCTGGACAAGATTGCCAATGTGAAACCCACTCCAAACCCCAAGCCAACAAATGTGAACAAAAGGATGGCGTCAAGTCTGTCCTGCCACAAACTTTTGGATTCTTGATGATCTATCGCTTTTGGAGTAGTTGAACTAGGATTGTCACATTGTTTAGACACTTGACTTCCACAAAGGCCTGCGTTGCCTTCAAAAGAACTGTATGGAAATGAAAAGAACTGGTTTCCCTGTGGTATTCTTCCAGTCAAATTGTTGTATGAAAGATTCAGCCAACTGAGAAAAGTTAGAGAGGTCAGAACTTGTGGGATTTCCCCTGAGAGATGGTTACAGGAGAGATCCATAGATTCCAGCCTAGTCAAGTTACCAAGCTGTGATGGAATCTGTCCCGTGAAGTTGTTGTGCGACACATTAAGTCCATGGAGTGAAACAAGCCTACCAATTGACTTGGGAATGGGACCATGAAATGAATTATCTGAGAAATCTATTACTTTCAAAGTGGTCTGGATCTTGGTCAAAATAAAATCAAAATTTTTGTATGTGATAGTGATAGTGATAGTGTCTTGATAGATATCATTCTTTGACACCCCGTTTGTGTAATTGTGCTCTAAAATTTCTCCCTTGTCGTTGTTGTTATTCATCATAGATTTAAAACCCTCAAACAATTCTGAATGCAAGTAACCAGAGAAATGGTTGGTGGATAAATCAATTATTTGCAAACTTGTGAAACTTATATTACTTTTACTGACACTGTGAAGATCCCTTATAGTGCCATTGAGTTGGTTAGATCTCAATACAAGAACTTGAAGGTTTGGAAGAGTACCCACCCAAGATGGAAATGAACCAACAATATGATTATTACCAACATCAAGGAACTCTAAGTCTTGGCAATTTTCTAGTGATGTAGGTAGTGTACCTTCAATTCTATTTCCATTCAGATCTATTGTTTAAAGCTTACATCCTTCTCCAATATTTTTTGGCAGCACCCCATGCAGTCTGTTTTCTCTTAATTTTAATACAGTCAGGTTTCCTCTTTCTACGAGACATGATGGGACTGGTCCATCAAAGTAGTTGTAAGATAAGTCCATGATATCAAGTTTGTTCAAACTACAAACCGAAGCTGGTATATGACCACTTAATTTATTTTTGGGCAAATTGATATAGATAGCATTCATAAGATACCTACCAAAGTTAGATACAATGGAGGAGAAGCTATTATTTGAGTAATCCAACACAACAACGTTAACCTCAGATCCGGTTACTGGTATTGGTATGGTTCCTTCAAGTCTATTAGAACTTAGATCAAGAAAGGCTAAATTCGTCATATGAACAAGAGAAGGTGACTTCTCTAATGTAGTAAACATATTGTGTGAAAGGTCCAAAGTGTTAAGCTGGTCCTTCCAGTTCTCCCACACCCAACTTGGTATAGCCCCTTTAATTTGGTTATTAGAAAGGTCAAGGTCTGTAATAGTGTCAATATATCTAAGTGCATCTGGAAGTTCTCTAAGATTGCAAGATGCAAAATTTAAGTACTCGATGCTAGGAAGATAAGGAGCTATAGTATCACCTTCGGTGTCTATGAGTGATATCATATTGTTAGACAGGTCAAGCTCATTGAGATTTGTCAACCCCCAGATAGAGATAAGTTTTATTGTACCCATCAATTTATTTGAGTCGAGATACAGAATCTGGAGGTTTGCAAGCTGAAAAAGTGATTCGGGTATTTGGCCTGTCAATTGGTTATCACTTAAGTCAATTTCCTTAATTTGCGAAAATCCTAAGTATAAAGGATGAGTAAAGTCTTTCAAGGAACCGGAAAGCTGATTCGTATCAAGATTAAGGTCCCGTTTGGCAGGGCTTCACTTCACTAGTGAAGCTATTTTTTTTGGCTTCAGCTCCACGAACAGCTCCACCGGTGGAGCTGAAGCGGTTTTGGTAAACCGTTTGGCAAAATGGCTTCCCTGTGAGAGCATGTTTTTAGGGGCCTGGAGGAGGAGCCGGGAGAAGCCACTATTTTTGGCTCCTTCCCACCCCAAAGCTGTGTGAGAGCACGTTTTTAGGGGCTTCATCGATGGAGCCGTTTCATTTTACCCCGTTTGGCAGAAAACGGCTCCAAACGGCTCCTGAAGCCGCTGGAGAAGCCCTGCCAAACGGGGCCTAAGATATTGCAGGGCTGGAAGGGCGAACAGAGACTCTGGAATGTTTCCTGCATGCATGGCCGACAGAATACTAGTCAGAACATTCCCAATTTTATTAATGTATAACGAAATCCAGTATGCACTTGTACTTAACATAACAATATTCTTCATTTTCTCTAAGTAGATGCATATATATTTCAGGATTTTGCTTACATCTTAATAATGCACCAAATTGAAGTTGTGACTTTTTTGCACCGTGGAGTTTATTTGTTATGCTTATTAACATTAGTGTTTATGCCTTATTTTGGGTCGATCCGACCCATTCCCATCCATATGCCTAAATATCTAACAAATCTCTTAGGGTATGGTTGAATCCCATAAATTAAAACCAATATCTAAAAAGGGCTTCCCATTTTATTATCAAATTATTTTGCAATTCCTCTCAATTCATAGGAACCAAAAGAAGTCAAGAATGCTTCCAAATTCCTAAAAAACAAGCTATTCCATAGTATTTTTAGGATTTGTAGGAACTCATTCATTTGTTTCAAAAGGTCTCCGAGAACAATTTTCGTATATATCATTCAAACAGTTCAACATATTTTTTTTGAAAAGATTCAAATAGTTCAACTTTATCTTTGTTCCACAAGAGCCTAAAAGTCTAATCGACCTCTTGTAACCCCCTCCCTCTTTTAGCCTCTTGAATCTTGACCATTTAAGTACGGCATGTAATATTGATTTAAGACGTATCTACAACGGCAGAAGTATTGGAAGAAACCAATTGAGATTGAGAGTCTCACCGGTGAGGTTGTTCCTAGAAAGCCGCAGCCATTTGATTTGGATCAGGTTCCCAATTGTTGAGGGTATTGGCCCAGATAAACAATTGTTATCAGAAATGTCCAGAGATATCAACTTTGTAAGATTGCCGATCCATGATGGTATTTGGTACCCAGAGAAGTCACAAAATTCAATGGAAAACTCTCTTAAATTGGCAAGATTTCCAATCTGGTACGGTATTGGGCCAGAAAAATTGAAACTAACAATGGTCAATTATGTCAACTTTGTAAGATTGCCTATAAATGATGGTATTTGCTGCACAGAGGCACTGCAAGTCCATATATACAACGTTTCAAGCCTTGTCAGGTTGTTGATCCAAGAGAGTGTTGATTGAGAGAAGTCATAGCCATCGAGGCTCAGGTATTTCAAATCTTTAAGGTTGCCAACCCAAGATAGTACTGGTTTCTCCAAGCCAGATCCCTCTAGTTCCAGTCCATTCAGTGACGGAAACCTTATTGAAGTGGGGAGTTCCTTGGCCATGGTTCCCGTGGTAAGGCTCAAAGTCTGGAGAGACGTCAGATTGGCAAAAGAGAGTGGCGTGTCATAAGTGAAGTTGGTCCCCGCTAGATCCAGGTACTGCAAACGGTTTCCAGCTGGGAAATATGTAAATCTCACGAAAAGCATGGGGTTCGCATGTAAATCAAGCATCATCAAACTCTTTAGCTGGAAGATCTCTGTTGGAAATTGCCCTTCAAAATGATTGCCTGATATGTCAAGGCTGCTCAAGGAAGACAGTTCAGAAAAGTACTCAGGGACTTTGCCACTGAATTCGTTGTCTCTGAAGTTGATCGATGCCAGTGAGCGAAGCCTTGAGAAGGAAGGGTGAATAGAACCTGATATACCACACGCATGCAAGCTAAGAATCTGTAGCTGGGGAACAGAGTCTGCTAAAGCAGTAGACCAAGTCGACCCACTGCTAGATAAATCCACTGAATCAAGACGGAGCTCCCTGAGATTGCTCATATTTGCCATGAAGGTTCGGAAATTTGGCTCTTGAAAATACAACTCATAGTTACTCCCGAAGTTGATTGTTGTCAGTTCGCCAAGCCTTGAGAAGGAAGGGTCAATAGAACCTGATAAACCACACTGAGACAAGCTCAGAATCCGTAGCTGAGGAACTGCATGCCCTAAAACAGCAGACCAAGTCGACCCAGTGCTAGATAGATCCACCCAATCAAGATGGAGCTCCCTCAGATTGCTCATATTTGCCATAAAAGTTTGGAAACTTGAATCTTTAAGATACAAGCCGTTATTATCAGAAAAATCAAGAGCGACAAGGTTCTTGAGGCGGGAAATCCCACTGGGGATCTGACCAATAAAGTAGGTTTGGGAGAAGTTCAGGGGTGATATCTGTGAGCCGCTCAAACCCAGATGCTGGGAAGCGGACGCCAGTGAAGTCATTGAAAGCAAGGTTGAGATTCCTGAGAGAGGTGAGGTTGAAGAGCGCAGGGTGTAGACGATGGCTCATCAAGTTGAACCCACCGAGGTCAAGAGAAATGACTCTCCCGGAGCCCGTGTTGCAGATGATGCCCTCCCAGTGGCAGCAGTCTGTTCCAGCTTGCCATGATGACAAGCGGGCGTTGGCAACGATGAAGGAACCTTTTAGCTGGAGGAGGGAAGAAGCTTGTGCTGGGAGGCAAGGTGCTTTGGTGCTGTTGATCATGGCTGCAGCTTCTGCGGGGTAGGAGCATAGGAGCAGGAGCAGGAGCATGGGGAAGCGATGCTTAGTGGGAGCCATCTTGCTATTGGTTTGCTGTTCCATTCCAATGGCGTCAAGTTCTTTAGTTGCTCCGAACTATGCATGATAAATAAACTTCTATAGTGGTTGTAGGCCAGTTGGCCCAGTACAAATAGTTTGCTGACTCACTCACGATACGATCGTCACAACATATGTGCCATTGCTGTCTGCCGCGCGATCCAAGCCAAGTCGTCGGTGACCCAATAATTCACGCAGTAGTGGTCATTCCAATAGCTTTAGCTTTGGGTGACTACGACTCTTTGTAAGTGAGCTTCTACTTTGGATGCAAGGAGATATCCATGCCATGCCTTGGTTTAAGTGTTTGGATGCGAGGAGATATTCTTATATTCTTTTTTTCGAAGGGAAGGAAGACTTTATATTAAATCTTGTCACATACATTCCTAAATTACAAATGAAAAAAATTTGAAATAAAAATATATAATATTCTATCCAGATTCTTTCATCTCCTTCTTCTTATTCTTCTTCTTCTTCTTCGCCAATGGCATCCCTCGAACGCCGGAGCCAAATTGCATTCCATATACCGAATCCAACGACCAATCCTGTAACACCCTAAAAATTGCTCTTTTCAAAAAAGATATAAATTGATTTAATTTTGTATTTTGTGCTCATGAAAACATAGGGAAATAATAATTTTTCATTAAATTAAAATTCATCATACGGAGTAGCAACATGTATGTGCATACATGCCGGTGCATTTGATCTATTATAATGAGTGGTTGAATCCAAAATTCAAAATGAATTTAAAATGCTTTCGAAAATGAAATTAAAAATGGCTTTGAAATAAAAAAAAAATTTGAAAATAAAAGAGTTTAAAAAGTTGTAAAATTTATTTTTGGAAAACTTACCAAAAATTTTCATTTCCATTCGAGGGAAAATATATTTGAAACTCTATTTGAATTTGCATTTGGTTCATAATTGAATTTGGTTTTGAAAACATGATAGAAAAGGAAAAAAATTCCCCTTTCGGATTTGGCCCGAAGGCTTGGCCTGCTCCGCTTCCCTTCCCCATTCCGTAGTCCATCTGGCGCCCGGCCCAGCTGCTCTGTTTCCCCGGTCTCTTTCTCTAAACCCAGCTCTCCCTCTCTGTTTCAGCCCGGCTAGCTCTCTCCCTCCTTTTGGCCTGCTGGCCCAATCGGCCGCAGCTCGTTTCCCTCTCCCTCACTCACCCGCGTGGGCCGAGCCGGCCCAGAGCGCTCCCTCCCTTCCTCTCTTCCCTCTATTCGGCCGCAGGCCCAATTCGCCCGAGGCCTGCTCAGCGGCAGCTGCGCCCACGCGCCCTTCCCTCCTTGGCTCACTAATAGCCTGACCCCACACCCTATTTCACTGATCTTCCGGGCCCAGTCGTCAATGTCGTTTCCTACCTTGCGTCATCCCCGCCCGGGACTCCACCTCGATGCAAACTCCGCCTTCGCCCCGTCCTTGCCTTGGCGTGCGCCCCAAGCCGCACCAGCCCCATAAATAGCTCCCTGAGCCACGCCGCAACCCGTGCCCGAACCCTAATCGCAGCAGCCGCGCCCCTGAGCTCTCTCTCGCGTCGCCGCAAAACCCTAGCCGCCGCCGCTGTTGCTCGGTCCGCCACAGAGCTGCTTCGTCGATGAATCAGAGCCCTGCCCCGCTTCGTAAGATGGTAAGGGAACCTCTAGTACTTTCTTTTCTCTCCCTCTCGCTCTCAGTACCTCGCACAACCTCGCTGTCGAAGCTGAGCCGCAAGAACGTGTGTGCCGCCGTCACCATTCCTCTCCGACTTCAACCTGTACCCCAGCCGTGTTCACAAGCTCGAGATCTACCTCCCCGTGTCCTCCGTTGAAGCAACCGTGGCTTGTAGGCCCTTTTCCCCTTCTCTCTGGCGAGGTTACGTCGCAGCCGGCAATGGCGCCGTACTGTTCCGGCCAGCAGACCCCCTCTTTCTCTGCCTTCTTTTCTTGGCCATCCACTCCAAGATCTACTGCTCAGATCTATTTTGACCGAAGTCAATACCGGTCAAATATCGGTCAACCCCCGCCTTTTTGTTAAAACCCCCTCTATTTCTTTCTAATCAACCCGCAGTCCACCCTCTGTTAAAAATAATTCAACATATGCCCCTAGATTTTCTGTTTCAGCCCCTGCAATTTTTCAAAAACGACGCCCAGTCCACAGAACTGTTTTAATTCATTTTTTAATTATTTTTAATACGAAGTTGATTTCAAAATATTTACGAAATTGTCACTATCTTCTGTAGGCTATATCTTCTCCGTCTTAACTCCGATTTGATCCGTTCAACTTGTGTTAGGTTCGTAATTTTATAATCTACATGTTTATACTACCGATAGATATGTTTTCAACTTTTAAAATTTGAGGTTAGATTTAATCTATTATTTTATTAAAGGAAATCTTGTATAATTCATATCTTCTACGTTTTAGCTCCGATTTGCCCCGTTCAAGTTGTGCTAGATTCATTACAACGAGATTTACGCGTTAGTAACAATATTTATCATGTCACTATTTCTGGAATTTCATGGTTTAAACTCTAACTTGAATAATAATTATGCAACTAAATTTTATAAGTAAAATACGATTTATTTTACTTTAGTTTTATAATTCAAATCTAAATTTAACTTAATTCAATTTATATATGCTTTTATATAGTTAAAACAGCTTATAGTTTTATATTTTCTCTTATGAGTAGATCTTTCGGTAGCCGTTTCTTTCAAACTGTAGCTCCGATTAGCGTGTCTCTCGCGATTGTGTGTTCGTAGCGATGCGTAGAATCGTGTTTCAAACTCTTTTACTTATTTTTCCATGATTGATGTACTGTTCTGATTTAGTTCTATTGTTTGCTTCATGTATGATTGCATAGATGCTTGTGTGGTGCTTTATGATCATGTCCGGTCGGTGAGCTTGCGTTGGTGATATAAAGGAAGTTGGTGATCCAGAAGAAGTCCTTTGGAGGTTACAATTTAGTAGAAGGATCTGAGTTTTAAGGCAAGTATAACATGGGATCTTCCTTGTTGTCCTATACACCTTTAATCATTTAATGCATACTGCATGTGTCTACCTTGGCAACCGTAGTAATTTTTCTAGCTATTTGATATCTTGGATTCCTTGATACCAATGGGGTATTGCATTGGGTAGTATGATGCTAGTGCTCAACTAAAATCATGATCTTGTAACTTGACTAATGGAATATGCAATAAACACTAAAAGATGATTTTTAGTAACATGGAACAAGGGGGCTAGAGCATTAGGCTAATCTTATGGTGCTCTAGATTCCTCTCCCTAAGGACTTATCTGTAACTGATCATCCAGGACTTATAGTATAGCTATGAGGGCTATATGGCTCTGGCTTTAGCTCAGTATGAGGACTTTTTCTAGCTTGTTAGAGGTTACCTTTATGGCACAAGAGGGGTGTGTTTTGGGTTGGATATAGTGTGGCCTCTGTACGTTAGTGTATAGGTTGCACGTTATTGTACCTATCGGAAGGGGAGCCCTACATTCACAGGGCACAGAAACCTAGCAGCCCTAACTTGTTAGATGAACCTTTGAAAGGATTCGTAGTGAACCCTGCCGACCTTCCTTGGTAGTGGGTTAAGAGGCTCATGACCTCGGGCAAAAGGGTAAAACATGACTCAGAGTGAAAGTATACAACCTCTACAGAGTGTAAAACTGTTATAACAGTCGTGCTCACGGTCACGAGCGGCCTTGGAACCCTTACAGAATAGATGATGAACACTGATGATAAAGATGCTCCCTAATGATTACTGTTTATGCTGTCATTATTCATGATTACCTGATCATGTGTTTATGGGCTTGTAATGAACTTGTTGCTACTCAATTGCTAAAATCATAACTCATTAAAAGCTAATCGCAGTTGAACCAGTGTTAGCTTCTTGAGCCTCATGAACCCCATGTTATATTTGTTGAGTACGACATGTACTTACGCTTGTTTTACTTTTTAAATCACTAGAAAAATCCCGGATGGGTACTAGATTGCTAGAGTTTTGAGGAATTAGGCTTGTAATCAACTAGTCAGTTGTCCCTGTGGAATTAGAGTCTTCATCTGAAGATCGGAGTTGTCTTTCTACTGTTTGCTGTCTAAGGTTATATCATTTATACTAAGTATATTATATATTGAGCATTGTCTATTTATATTACCCTTATTTGTAACTATATGTGAGATTTGACTTTATAGGCTCACATATGGTGTGTATCTGGTTTTGTTCTTAAAACCGGATGCTATAAATCCTAAAACATTGGACATGACGTAAGATCCAACATTTCGGAACCAGTCCAAAGCGCATCTAAGTCCCTGAAAGAATATTGATAGTTGCATCGTCAGGTAAGACATAGGCTACAAATACATCACCTACAGACCTTGAAATCCTCTCCGTGACCACCGACGATGAGATCCATGACCCGGAGTCGCTGTCCTCGTAGGGGGCTCCCGGAAGCACCACTCCCCTTGTAGATAAAGGCCATAAATTGGCTGTCTACCGATGAAATCGATGCTTACAACAACGATCTTGTCGTGGCAATCATCGACGTCATTACAGGAAAAACGATTCTGCCTAAAAATCATCTAATTTCGTTAGAAGATTTATTTAGACTAAACCCTAAACAAACTGGAACTAAAACTATGAAAAAGAGAGATGGGTCCCCTCTCCTTCTTACCTCTAGCAGACGCACCAGAGAGGATGAAGGAGAGGGGCCCTAGGTGGAGGCGTGGCGATGGCGAGGCCCTGGGAGCAAGGGCGGCGGTGGCGTTTTTCTGTATACCCTAGGCGGCAGCTCCGTACGTGCCCCAAATTTTTTTCTTGGCTGTCGATTCTTTTCTTGGGTTGGAGAATGGATAGCCATGATTGGTTGAGGGTCGCCACATGATTGGTTGTCTCCTGCACCAGCATGCGCAGCTAGGCAACGACACTCTCATGGAGTTTAGGTTCGGACAGACACAACCTGTACTTCTAGATTTATGAAGCCCATTGTGGTTGCATGGAATTTAG